TCTTCTGGGGCATAAACAATCCTAGTTCCCTTCGCCGGTAATCGTAAGTCATGTGCTCTAGACCCCTAATCATTTTTGTTGCCTTCGGCTGGACTCTTTCCAATTTTTCCACATCCTTCTTGTAGTGTGGGGCCCAAAACTGGACACAGTATTCCAGATGAGGCCTCACCAATGTCGAATAAAGGGGAACGATCACGTTCCTCGATCTGCTGGCAATGCCCCTACTTATACAGCCCAAAATGCCGTTAGCCTTCTTGGCAACAAAAGCACACTGTTGACTCATATCCAGCTTCTCGTCCACTGTGACCCGTAGGTCCTTTTCTGCAGAACTGCTACCTAGCCATTCGGTCCCTAGTCTGTAGCAGTGCATGGGATTCTTCCGTCCTAAGTGCAGGACTCTGCACTTGTCCTTGTTGAACCTCATCAGGTTTTTTTCGGCCCAATCCTCTAATTTGTCTAGGTCCCTCTGTATCCGATCCCTACCCTCTAGTGTATCTACCACGCCTCCTAGTTTAGTGTCATCTGCAAACTTGCTGAGAGCATCCTTTATTACTAGGGACATTTGCGTGAAGACAAGTTATTTTTCTAAGTTGCCTCCGGACTCCTATTTACTGTTGCTCAAGGCATACACAAGAGAGGGTTTCTTCTGTGTTTCCTCTACAGATCCTGAGAACATCTCCTGCTACAGCCCAGCAGCTCTACATGGCTGGTCAATGCCTGGGGTGGAGTCGAAGCTCCACTACACATGTCTCCTCCATTTACATGATACAGACTACGCCTTCCTGGGTCTGATTGGCTTCTGTATATTCTCTGCCGGCACTGTGGCAGCCTGGTTGGCTGGAATGTGTGTAGTGCTATACGAATTCCACACAACAAGGGGAGGGAATGATGAAGACGAAGATGAAGACGAAGAAGCAACCACCTAGAACTAGCCTCTGAAGCCCTGGTGAATAACTATGCTGGGATGCCAGAGACTGATACAAGACGTACCTTTCTCTTGGTCCCCCTGGGCTTTCCCCGTCTATCTGCCTTTCCAGATGAGATTCTTGTGACACAAAATACAACTGCAGGAATCCTTTTGTTGTAATTTAACCCTCTTTGGGGGAATTTCTTACTTCCTCCTTCTTTTCTCCAAAATTTCTTTCTCCAGCTGGGCTTGGGCCATTGACAAATTAATTGATGCCTGCCAAAAGTATGGTAAGTGCTCATCTATCAACCAGCCAGATAATTAGTATTTGTTATTTACGGAGTGCCCCCAAATAGCTAAGAACCTTACTGAATATGTAGAAAGCCATGAGCAAAGACATTCAAAAATAGGGGCCTAAAGTCAGGCTCATAAATTCATATTTAGGCTCTTGGACTATGTGTCCTGATTTTCAAAAATGTCAAGTGTTCAAAATGTCAAAAATGTCGAGCAATGGTGATCACTGGAAGTTGCTGGGAGCTAAATGCTTTTGAAAATCAGGTTATTTATTTAGAAGCCTAAATAGGGATTTAGGAACCCAACTTTAGGCTCCTATTCTTGAAAATTTTGGCCATGACCCCTGTCCCAGAGAGCTTGCAATCTAAGTATGATTTGTAAAAGATATACAAGTTATTCCCCAAAAGATGCTGGAGATGAAGCAGCCAAGTGTTTCAGAAAGATCACCATAGAGTGACCTCTAGCTGATATATATGTTTAACATCCCCTTAATATTGCAGCCAGGAAGAGACAATTCCCTGCTGAGAGCAGCTCAGCTTAGCTCTTACTGGCTGAAACTAATAGCATGTCTCCTAGAATCTTACTTGAAAGATTAATGCAGATTGATTTGGACATGAGCTGCTGGATAATAAACTGCCTGAAGGACAATAAATATATGGTAATGATATACGGCAATGTATTGAGTTTGGGAAAGATGTTTAGTAGGGTGCTGCAGCGATCTGTTTGGTCTGGACTTCCTTAACAGCTTCATGAAAGAGACTAATTTGGAAGAAGCTGAAAATAACAGTAAAAACAGAACTAACTCAAAGAGACCAAGAGTGATTAAAAATGCAGGTAGAAAATATAAATAGTTACAATAAAAAGATTAGTCTTGTGAAAATGACACTAACACATATGGGGAGTATTATTCTTGTATTGCAGTAGCACTTAAGGTGTCCAATCAGGGCCCCATTGTGTTAGGTGTTGCACGTATATAATTACACAGTCCCCATCTCAAAGAGTTTACAATGAAAGGGCTAGATTGTGAATCCCGCATCCACACTGGTGTGCAGTTACTCAAATAAGTATTGCCATTGACTTCAGGGGGACTACTTGTGTGAGTAATTGGTCACCAATATGAGTAATAGGTTTACAGTCTGGCCCATACTGATCTGAAACCTACATATTCAACAGGTGGGAGAAATCTAGGAAACAGAAATGCTGCTAGGAGACTACAAATTAGACCTGAGTTTGCATTGAGAGAGGCTTATTTTAATTTAGTTTAAACTGATTCCTAATTGACTTAAGCTAAACTGAAATAAGCCTTGTTTAAACCAAAATCAGAGTGTCCACACAGGCTTTTGTACTGGTTTAACTAAACTAGTTTAAAATGATGCCTTAGGCCTGGTCTACACTACGAGTTTAGGTCGAATTTAGCAGCGTTAAATCGAATTAAGCCTGGACACGTCTACACGACGAAGCCCTTTTTTTTCGACTTAAAGGGCCATTTAAACCGGTTTCTTTACTCCACCTCCGACGAGGGGATTAGCGCTAAAATCGGCCTTTGCGGGTCGGATTTGGGGTAGTGTGGACAGAATTTGACGTTATTGCCTCCGGGAGCTATCCCACAGTGCTTCATTGTGACCGCTCTGGACAGCACTCTCAACTCAGATGCACTGACTAGGTAGACAGGAAAAGCCCCGCGAACTTTTGAATTTCATTTCCTGTTTGCCCAGTGTGGAGAGCACAGGTGACCACGCAGAGCTCATCAGCACAGGTAACCATGATGGAGTCCCAGGATCGCAAAAGAGCTCCAGCATGGACAGAACGGGAGGTATGGGATCTGCTCGCCATATGGGGAGACGAATCAGTGCTAGCTGAACTCCGTAGCAGCAAACGAAATGGCAAAATATTAGAAAAAGTCTCAAAGGCCATGAAGGACAGAGGCCATAACAGGGACGCACAGCAGTACTGCATGAAAATTAAGGAGCTAAGGCAAGCCTACCACAAAGCCAGAGAGGCAAACGGAAGGTCCGGGGCAGAGCCGCAAACATGTCCCAACCGTGTGCTTTGACTCCATCAATGGAGAATCACTCAACAGGGAAGCGGGTTCGGGGTACGAGGAAGATGATGATGAAGACAATGAAGATAGCTCACAGCAGCAAGGAAGCGGAGAAACCGGTTTCCCCAACAGCCAGGATATGTTTATCACCCTGAACCTGGAAGCAGTAATCCCCGAACTCACCCAAGGCATGCTCCCAGACCCTGAGGGCACACAAGGGACCTCTGGTGAGTGTACCTTTGTAAATATTACACATGGTTTGAAAGCAAGCGTGTTTAATGATTAATGATTAATTTGCCCTGACAATCGCAGCCAGTACAGCTACTGGAAAAGTCTGTTAACGTGTATGGGGATGGAGCGGAAATCCTCCAGGGACATCTCCAGAAAGCTCTCCTTCATGTACTCCCAAAGCCTTTGCAAAAGGTTTCTGGGGAGGACTGCCTTATCCAGTCCACCATGGTAGGACACTTTACCACACCAGGCCAGTAGCACGTAGTCTGGAATCATTGCATAACAAAGCATGGCAGCGTATGGTCCCGGTGTTTGCTGGCATGCAGACAACATCCATTCCTTATCTCTCTTTCTTATCCTCAGGAGAGTGATATCATTCACGGTCACCTGGTTGAAATGGGGTGATTTTATTAAGGGGACATTCAGAGGTGCCCGTTCCTGCTCAGCTGAACAGAAATGTTCCCCGCTGTTAGCCACGCGGTGGGGGGAAGGGGTGAAGTGATCATCCCAGAGAATTGGGTATGTGCCCTCCTCCCCAAGTTCCATAGCTTCCTCAACCAGACGCCCAAGAACGCGGTGGGGGGGCCTCCGGCCACCCAGTCACTCCACCCCAGATGATTGCCCAAACATCAGAAGGCTGGCCTTCAATAAGTGTTAAAGTTTTAAACTGCAGTGTGTCCTTTTCCTTCCCTCCTCCCCCACCCCTCCCGGGCTACCTTGGCAGTTATCCCCCTAGTTGTGTGATGAATTAATAAAGAATGTATGAATGTGAAGTAACAATGACTTTATTGCCTCTGCAAGCTGTGCTCGAAGGGGGGAGGGGAGGGTGGTTAGTTTACAGGGAAGTAGAGTGAACCGGGGGGCGGGGGGGACGGAGGGTTCATCAA